TTGTGAAAAGCACATCAGCAGAGAGAGCTCTTGCGCAGATTATCTTGCGGCGCACAAGGTGCAAGTTAAAGTGTTAGGTGAGCTGGATGGATATTTTGGGCACTGCCTAGCTGAGCTTACATGCGCTGCAGTTGTCAGTCTGTTCCCACCAAAGTAATGCCAGTACAAGCATACACAGCTGTCCTCGCTATAAGTGTCTCTCCAATAATATCTGCTCGCTGCCTCGTGCTATAATCTCAATCAAACAGCCCACGCTGATGCGAGCACGTGCTGCTTGTGCCACCGGCACACTCCCCAGGCCCCCACCACCCACCAAGCTCTCCGCGACTTCAGCCCCCCCCCCCCCAACACACACACATCCCAGCACCATAAAACACACAAAAAAAAACACGCGCGATGTGTTACCGTTGTGATGTGATTCCTCATTTAGATGTGAAAAAAATTCCCACTCGCCGTCTGTTTACACGGATACATGCATTGGTTTTCAAATGTACAGTGCACGACCAAGGGTGCATTGCTTTGCTTATATCTATTAAACTGCATGCCTTGTGTTTTGTATGGTCCGACTTTTTTTGCATTCGCGTAAACTTAATTTTATCTGCAGTGTCCCTGCGACGCCTTCATCGATGTGGATGGCGCGCTACATAAATCAAGACCGACAAATATACGGGAGTGATGTTTCAAAAGCAAAGTCTCGGTTGCAACCCGGGTTATCATCCGTGTCACCGCGTTGTGAGTATGCACACCGTGAGCGCACGTGTTGTGCAATTTAAACGGGGGGGGGGGGGAACATTACACGCAAACCGCCGCCTCAGTGTAAATATTGAGATTTTTTTTAAATTAGCGTGCATTTTCTTTTTTGGTTCAGTGTGCTTGAAGAAGGCCCTGAACGAGCGTTTTAACCCGCCAGCCATACATGGAGCGCTGAGGCGCGGGTTGAGTGTGTGCCGGTGTGCGCACACACATGCGCGCGTGTGTACATACGCGGGTAGAGGCGGCCGTGGTTATATCGGGCTCGCCGTAACGCGAGGCGCCCGCCGAGGCCAAATTAAACCCCTTTCTGGTGGTTCCCAGCCGGCCATCGCATGCGCCAGTGCGTGCACAGAGCGGGCTCGCTTCGGAAATCAGATCAAACGCGGAGGCAGAAGACGCCGACATGGGGCGGCACCACCTCCACCACCTCCTCCTCCTCGCCAAAATGGCTCACGCGTTGGAGCTGCTACGCCCGTGCCTGCTGTGCTGAACAGCCAGCCCCGCCGCAGTCGACGACACGAACGGCGCGTGCATGTCTTCAATTATTAATTCAAAAGTGTAACTCGCTTCCTCCAAGACCACCGTCGTGCTGTCGACTCCCCCCTTACCCATGGTTGGGTTTCAGGCTCAAGTCTCTGGCCTGTATCCTCCGCCAATTACCGACTCTCGTCTCTTCGTAAAATAACGATGCCCACTGCTGCTGTACACCGTACAGTGTCTTTACGTGTGGTCACATTTTGATGCTACGTGAATCCACATGGTATGGTAACTGGCTAATGCTCACCGCTTGAATGAGTAATGCTGATCTCTGCTGGTAGACCTGAACTCGCGGTGAAAACGTGGAGCCCATTCTCGCCAAAGGACACCAAAGACTTATCTCAGAAAGTGGTCGCTTAATTTATCCACGCATGAAATGATGGGTTACGTTTACCCCTGTCCGGATTTGAGCAGGCAACCTTCCAATTGTGAGGCAAGGGTTCTCCTGCAGAGCATCAACCTGTTGGATGATGACAATGAAATGGCCATCATCATGATCATCAAAGAAAAATGGGACGCAAGCTGACGGTTACACAAAGAAGCATGGCGAGATGCATGGTTGTAATTTCACCGAGACAGAGAGAGGAACAAGGATAATAAATTAGAGTCAGGGAATGATAACACCATCTAAAACATCTGACAAGTACACGTTAAACATTGGACACGTGCACCACACACAGATAAAGAATCCCCGTGTAGCCTCCATAGACTGGTGGAGAAAGTGCTGTTAGCGAGCACCCGTGAAGGTGGGCATAAGTACACTGGTGTGGCCAACACTAGACCCGGCCGCTATTGTCTCCCCAGTACTTATGTTTACACACTGCACCACACTCATTTTAGGCTAAGTCAACATAGAGGAGACCCCAGGACTGTTTCATATAGTCTCCACTGATTTTGGCCGTCGAAGGGAATTAACTCGGGTGGAGTCGGGTTCATAGCAGTGTGCGAACCACTATCTCACCGCACCACACAGACACGACCCCCATACACACGAGCACGCACTCACACAAAGACGAGACGCGCTGGGCGCTCCATGAGAAGGAGTCGGCGTTTCCCCGCGGGACGAGAAGCCAAGAGCAAATGAAATGCGGCAGCACTTTAAGAATCCTCCTTTTATTTAAACTGTAGTAGCCACATTTCCATTGAACCCATTGTGAAACATAGGCAATAACAATACAGGAACAAACGTGGCAGGACAATCCAGAAACTTTTAAGTGGTGCGCGAGGAGGAGGAGGGGCCCATTCCACCCACTCGCGCCCTCCACCTCCTCCGCATACAACCTCCAGTATTCCTAATTTCACAGTCACCGCTTCGTTTGCTCGAATCGAACGATTTTGTGAAAACATCGAATAACGCCGTGATGTCGGTGAGAAAAATCCTTCGAAAAATCCACCCGTCGAGCGACTCCGTGCGCTGTCGGCCCTCGGTCCGCTGGTCGACCGACCGACGGACCCGCTGCGCGCGTGTCACGTACGGGAAATCTGGACTTGTGAGCAGAAACTGAAGCCAGTCCCTTTCTCGTGATGGCAGTTTAGATAAAGCACACTTAGCAGCATTCCATTCCACAACTCCATCTCGCTCTAGTCTCCTGAACACGGGCTTTCATAAACCGTACAACGCTCTGCCGCCTTTGAGTCGCGATCTCTGTTCTCCAGATTGTCTCTCAACATATATTAGTGAATATATTATCATGTTCATTTAATTAACAATATATCAACAACAAAATTAATAATAATTAACCAAGGAAAGAAAATCTCTTCCCCCCCCCACCCTTCCAAACCACATCGCACCGTCACTAGTTTCAGCAAAATGTCACTTGCGTTTCCATTTGGTGTCTTCTGCAGAGGACCGCACGACTGGCCCACCACCGCCACCAGAGGAGGTGCTTCCACACCCAACAACACACCCAGATGTCCACCCCGAACCCCACCAAACTCCACCCGACTCTTCATTGTCGTACTGCACATGAGCAGCTGCCCAGCGGGCAAAGGCTACCTGTGTAGGAGCATTCCTTCTGGTGCTGCAGTTGTGTTGAAGGTGGAGTTGGTAGTGGTTGTGGCGTTTTTGCTGGCGTTAGTTTTTTGTGGTATCAGTGGTGTGAGTGGTAATTGTGGTGCTCATTGGGTTAATGGAGAAGGAGTTTGTGTGGTGTTGGTTATTGTCGTGTTAGTGGTGATGGTGTTATTGGTGTTTTTGGTTGTTGTGATGCTAGTGGTGGTTGTTATGGGTTGGCGGTGGTGTTTTGATGGTGTTAGTGATAGTGTTGGTGGTGTTTACGGGGAGCGGTAGTGTAGCGGTAAGTGTGCCGTGCTATGAACCCAGCGACCCGGGTTCGATTCCCGCTCACGGTCAACACCAGTGACTGATCCAGGGCCTCCCTTGGTCGACTCAGCCTCAAATGAGTATTGGTGCTGTGTGTAAACATCGCAACTAGGGAGACAAAGGCGGCCGGACGTAGTGCTAGCCACCCACCCCCTGTATGCCGTGCCGGCCTTCTTAGTTGCTGTTAGAGCTATACGGGGGATCTTTGCCTTTGGTGTTTTTGGTGATTGTTGTCGTGGTGGTGGTAGTGGGTTGGCGGTTGCAATTTTCGTGGCGTTGGTGGCTGTGGTGTTACTGGTGGCGGTGGTGGTGGTGATGACTCTGTGGTGCTGGCCTGCCGATGTTTGCATGACTCGGGGCCTTGCCCCGACCTCTGAGGACCTCCTAGCAAGTGAGCTCGGCTGCTCTGAGGCAAAGCACGAACCACAAATCTCTCCACCCAGGATTATTTTGGGTTGCCCAGGCCAGACATGGCCAATGAAGTTCTAGGAGAACAGAGTGGAAAAAAACACACTAGATAAATTAATAAAACCCAACTTGCCATGCCTGACAAAGACACCCATCAGACCTGGCCTGGCTCATTTTAAATAAAAGGGCCGTCTAACTAAACCCTCTAGTTCACAAGAGCCGAAGGTTTGGCACAAAGTGGCTTTTTTTTACAAAACCCTCGGCTCAACTTTCAAGTATCGCGACCGTCATTTTTTTGTTGAAACGTCAGCGCGTTGCAACAACGAAACAACGTGAGATGATGATGAGAGAGTGTTCACACTGAGGCGAGGATTCAATTGCAGCACCCGCCGCCGCGAATGACGCCGCCGCATCCGATCGCATTAAAGCAATAAAGGTGTCTGCTTCCACACCAAGAAAAATCAAACACCGCAATCCATACCTGTGCCTGCTCTCATAAAAACACCCGACGTGGATATGTGCCGGTGCTGTGGCTTTTGCGTCTCTCGGACCTCTTCGTCTGTCCACTGGGGTTGTCATGTTCAGACGACCGCAGAACTTCACAGAGCACGTTTGAGATTTTCCTTAAATGTTAATTTGTAAATAAGTAATTCATAGTTCTCAGTGTCAATGTTATTTGAGTTGCATTCAATGTTATTAGGTATTCATCTGAAATAAAAGCTGAGCTCAGAAAACTTATCGCCTACTCTTTTTGTGTGTGTGACGCTGCCACGCTGGCAGTGGTGCATAAAAGACAAATATCAAAAACTCCACGCATTCGTCAATAGAACTGTGGCCCTGAAAGGTAAACAAAATCGTGAGCGACGTCCCGGGCAATGGCCCTTCTTCCGTGCCCCAAATTGTATAATCTGTTTGCGCCACTGGTCACGTGAACTCCCTTGGAGTCACTTCCTCGATTGCGCTCTCTCTGTATGTTTCTCCTTTGACTCGAGGGGGTATAAAGGCTTTTGGTTCTGTTCACAGCTGGTGTAGATTTTCACTGCGACTTTTTGAAATCTATTTACAAATGTAAATGCACGATGTGCATGACCTAACAATCTGCGTTTCTCTGGTTGCGTTTATTTGGCAGCTGCATTACCAAAATAAAATCTGTCTAAAAATAATTATTCAATGTTTTCACTGCCAACTGCCAATACAAGATCGTGTTTGTTATCTTGATCTTTCAGTTTTTGTTTGTTGCAAAGCTCAATAATTTCCCAAGCAACTGATGATTCCTTTAAATTGCCACTTCTATGTGGAATAACGAACACTACATATTCACTGCTGAAACAATCTATTTATTAACATTCAAATAGATTCGATTCAAAACCCAGCTGCAGTGCCCTACGCGCTAAACGTGAAGTGCACTCAAGAGGCAGGGCTCAATGAGAAACGCTTTCAAAATCCTCTTCCAAAAAATCATTTTCAGGACAATAACTGTCTGAGCCCCTTGGTTTACATGACACCCCGTACGGCCACTTTACACACGTCCCAAAAAAGGCCCACTCAGACAACTTGCGCCAAATCTCAGCCAGAGATACAGCTGCGCACAAATCCACACTGATGATGACTATGCAGGCTGAATTTCCACAAAACATCTGGGAGACACGAGCCCACAGCTGCAAATGAAGCTCGCCCATGTAATCTCTTTCAGAGTAAAGTACACCAACCAGGCACGCCAAGGAGCACTGGCCACTCTCTGCGTTAGATCAAAGCCAACAAGGCAAGGCCCTGCCCAGCATCTCCAGGCCAGTTCTGTTTCTGAAAGTGACCGTGTGTGCAGGCAGGCACCGGGAACGGAACGCGGAACTCACGTTAAAACAAAAATAATAAACCGAGTATCCTACATTCCAAGGCCCAAAAAACGGGTGAGTAACATAAAATATTCACAGAAAACTGCGTGGCAAGGAAGAGGGTAAGGGTGAGGGTTTCGGTCATCCGCGATAATGAAACAGTCCCAGCAAACGTCGCTCAACTCGGAGAGAAAAAATTTAAACGCGGCCAAAAAGGCCTGCATAAGAGCTACGTGCGGACGAGAAATATGATGCAGGAGAGTGGCATCTCTTCCGAGGAAGTGTCCTGGCTAATGGGAATTATAACTTGTATGAAAAGTAGCCTCGGGCAACACAGTGGAGACGAGTTGCAAAAGTAGATTGGAGTTTTGTTTTTAAAAAGGTACTTACAGAAACCGCATTTCATGGCAGAGTGTCACGAAGCCGTATCTGTTCTGCAGGATCTCAGTTAGATAGCATCGAGAAGCTGCTGATACAACGAACTCTAAATCTACAAAACGCTCGTGATATTCCTTCTTAGCCCTTGATTCAACCAGATCGCCTTGGTCTTAGCGTTTATCGTCACTGAAAAAGGCAAAAAACGTCACTGTTTAACGAGCTCTATGTTATAGGCAAGCAAATTCACAACGCACATTATCTTACAAAAATGTGTTTTTAAAAACCTGTTCGGAAGTACTCTCTTGTAAGACGTTAAAACCTTTACTTTCCACGACTTCGCGTTTCTACAGAGAAAGAGCTGAAACACAAAGCCCTTGAATTATTTGTTTCTCAATCTCGCTCGTGCAAAACATTGCTGCCCCGGTCACGAGCTGCGCACATCAACCCGGCGGCGGCAACCGCCTCGCCGCACCCCATACTGCCACCCCTCGCCGTGACACAAACGCCACCGCCGTGGGGCGGCACGACCCCTTGACCTCACCGGGGATGGCCGTGACTATGGCGTCGGCTGCGGCCGCCTGGCGCGTTCACATTCACCGTCGTGCCGTCTCCAAACGCGTGCTCGCCCTACCCTGGGCTCTGGGCTTTGGGCTACATTCACGGGGGCTAGGTGGCCAAAACAGGCCTGACCTCTAGAACCGACCATCTCTGCACAGTCACAACCCCCACAGCGATCCCCAGGGTGCCCACCAACCCCGAGAAGCGGCACAATGGAAACCGCTGTTGCCACTGCCACCACTGGACCAAGAACAATTGCCCTCTACCTCTGCTCCAACAGAGACAGTCAGATTCTCCTGCTGCTGCTGTACGTATGGCGATGGCCGGTACATCGAGGCTGGACAGCCCGATTGCTCAGAGGAGCAGGAGCAAAATGAGGGTGAAAGAGGAGGAGGGAGAATTGAAAAATGCAGGAGAATAGGCAACCAGAATTAATCTCAAAATCGTTAAGGTTTAATCTCAAGCTGAACTTGACCCATGTTGAGGGAAGTTCCAGGCAGAAAGCTCAAGGGCGTCTCATATCCTCCACAAACTCGGGCCGCAGTATTGCGACGCTGTCGGCCCCACGATGGAGAGGAAGCGTTGAGAGAGCACAAAGATGTCGCAAATACCGACAAAGGAAATAATATATAAATAGAATAACAAGGCAAATGACAGAAAATGCTTATATATTTTTTTGGGAATCCACATTGGTTATCTTTCATGGGATAAAGTGTACATTTGTTTAAGAAAATATGGGGGAAATAAATCGCAACATTGGGTTTAAGCGGCGGGAAAAAAAAAGTATTAATTTTTTTCCAAAAAGTAATGCGATAGTCAAGCAAAACAATATGTTTTGCTGGTGCAAGCGACTGACGAATGCAACATGCAGCAAACAACTAGCGGTTACCAGCCATGTTGCAAGTACTAAACAAAAATAAATCGGCTCCAAGCGTTCACATTTTTCAACAAATCTATATATATATTTTTTTCTCTTTTTAAAAATTTTGAACAGAAATGCATGCACCGGTCCCTCCCACCGTGAGGTCCTCCCACAGCTGCTGGTACAGAACATGCACTATTGCTGCCGCCCGCTCGCCCGCTCGCTCACACGGGACGGGTTTCATGGCTTCATAAATGTCCAACAGGGCCTGCACCATCAGCTCTTCTGCACTTCTTGTGCCCTTCCCTGCCCCAAATCACTCCTCACTCTGCCCCTCTGCGGTGCGACACATCGCGAGTGTGCCGTCGTTCGGCCAACAACACATCTTGGGAATCGCACGCTCACTCGCTCACGCCAGCCAAACAAGCGTCTCGCACGACCGTACCGTGCGATCGCGCCTGTAGCGATCGCGCCTCTACGTTGGTCGGTACCAGACACCGCTTGGTCGGTCGCAAATAGGCGGTGATTCTCTGATCGCTCCTCAGTGACCTTCCCCCCTCCCGACCGCCGCCACGTGCCTGCGACGGGGCCCGCTTGCCACGGCCACCTCGCTGTGGCGATTTGCCACCACTACCACCGTGGAGGGCGGTCGCACCTCACCCAGCCTCCTCGAGCCGCTCGCTGGCGGGCGGCATGCGGGACGCTGGGGCCAGGGGTAACGGCGACGGCGGTTGTTGTTGTTGTTCCGAGTACCAAGGTGGCGGCTACCGGCCGTTAATGGGGGGGAGAGAGGAGGGACTGGGGAGGATGGTGGTGGCCGTGGCAGCGGCGATGGTGGTGGCGGTGTGGCAAAACCATCCATGGTGGCTCAAACGTAGCTGCGGTTCTGGTCGGCAGTCTCGCAGGCGATGCTGCTGTGGGGACAGGGAGAGAGCACACGGGGGGGGGGGGGCACGATGAGCAGGTGCGCACTGTGTACGTGCCCTGCGAACACTGTATGTTGCATTTCAAGACCGAGAAAGGTCACATACTAAAGCCACTCTGAATGCTAATCGCTTGGTAATGAGAAAGATATATAGATACATACCTGTGTTTAAGGTGATGGAAATAAGCCAAACTAAACAAAAACTAAATATATTGCCATTGTTTTCTCTGTGTAGTCATAAATTGCCAAAATCTAATTCTCAACCCACGACAGTTGAGAATCTGGTTTAATTACAGGCGGCTGAAACCCAGATTCGTCCTGGCATGTCAGTGCCAGCTCAGTGCTCCAAAACCTAAGCGGCCCACCTTTGGAGTAAATGTTCTCGCGGAGCACGATGCTGGCTTGAACCTAGACTGGAACGAGGGAACGTCGCGGCGGTGGTTTTTGACCGTAACCACACAAATCCCCGCCAGCTTCACGATGTTCTTTGTGGACAAAGCCTCCACATCGATAGAGGTGGTGGCGGCGGCGGCTCGTGACTCAACCACCTCGTGGTCAGAGAAGGCAGCAACAGCTCAGGGGCAAATGCGGCAGCACGCGGTAGGAATTGCGCTGACCCTGGGCCGTCACCACGCCAGGCCTCGTGGGAAGCAGCGCGGCTCATGGCACGGCTACGGCTGGCGGAAGGAGGAAGCCATGAGGAGATATCTGGGGATCGTTAGCCGAAACCTGACACCAAGGTCCTGACGTTCAGACCGTAGGGAAGACTCTGTTGTCAGGATCTCCGCGCCCGCTCCTGCATTCCTTTGGACCAATTCCCCCAGTCTCGGCGCACGCCCGCAGCTACTGGCCCACTGGGCCGAGACCTTGGCCGAGCCGATGGCTGTTATCAAAGTTCATATCGTTGTTTTGTAGCTTGAGACACTGAGGAGGACACGGTCCCCTTTCACCTTGAGTAACAAGCCACCACCACGACCACCGGGAAGGAGAACTGGTGTGGTCAGCTGTGACCGGGGGAGCGAGGAGAGGGGAGGTGGGGGGATGCGATTAAGGTATCAACGGCGGTAGCGACAAACCTGCACAGGGTGGCGGGCGTCAGGTGAGGATGTGCACGAAGAGAACGGCAAAGCCCAGGACCAGCAGCATCACCATGGCAACCAGCACTGAGCTGGAGCTCTGCATGGGTGAGGCGAAAGTGGTACAGAAGGGGGTGGGGGCCATGGGGGAGTGAGGGGTATGATGTGGGTAGGGAACAGATGGGAGGATGGGGGTGAGGGAGACAGCTAGGGTTGCAGATTTTTCCAAAAATCCACCCCGGACATATTTTCAGTCAGCCTAAGCCTATGGGAACTGTGCGTTATGCCGATACAAAGTTTTACACAATCCCGGCACCGAAACACAATGCAAATCTATTCCTGCCGTGTGAACACAGACACCAATTCCCTGACAGGTGGCAACCCCAGGTGAAGTTCCCTTCGAGGCCTAGTCATCACCCAGAGGCCTGCACGATGGATTTGAATGCACTGGCTACCCTGGTGATGAGTGCGGTCTGTTTGAATCATACCGCAACTACGTGCCGTCTGCTCACAGTGGACGTTAAAGATCCCCTCATGTCACTCGGAAGAGTGGGCCACTGTGTGCTGGCATCATGGTCCAGAAATAACTGAAATTTGAATTTACGCAAAAATAATTTTATTCAAGACGCTCCCAGAAAGGAATCACGAGACTCGGTAAGGCTTTCTAGGTGAACCAGCGGAGCGACGGTCGGCCGTCGAAACGCATGAAGCACACTGCGCGTGCACACACTAATTATCTTATTTTATTTCTCACACGATGACTGCTCCTGATACATATGCTGACGTCACTTGCTAACCAGCGTGGAGTCGGAGGCTGGAGGGGTCTCGTGTGAGGGGTGGGGGTACGCGTGTATGGTACAAGGTCGCCACAGAGGCGTTTAAAAAAAAATGCATTCTCAAAACATCGCGAACACCACCTACATCTGACATCAAAAAATCGTGACATTCCCCACGACACGGTGTGGTCACAGACGGTCATATTTTCTCCCCGAAGCCCCTTCATGAGCAGTTGTGCGATTGGTGTGTTGGTTTTGCCGACAAATCCCTGCCTTCCAACAATTCTGTCGCTCCCCCTCTGACCTCACCTCTGTTTACACCTCCCCGGCGCGGCAATCAATCCGGAGCAATCTCCTATTGCAGGTCAACATTACGAGTCTGCGTAAAACACCACGTGTGTGTAATAAACATCAACGAGACCGTGCAGACCCAACACTCGCACGCGCCACTCTGGCGGAATGCCGAGTTCCACTTCTCATTGTGGCCAGTGGCCTCCGGTAGGAGTCGGCAATCAGAAAGAAGCAGTGGTGGTGGCAGCGGCCGCCTTCGTTAGCAGCAGACAGCGGTCTGGCATTTACAAGAGAGCCCTGGGAATTGGGTCCGTGTTGTGGCTTGTCTCAAATTGGAATGCAGCTGTGCATTTTCGCAAAACTGGAACTCATCTTATGGGGATGCCTCGTTAACAAATGCTCCCCCCCTCCCCCTGCCGCGTTACAAACATGAAATCCCGCGGGGGAACCGTGGCCCCTTGTTCGACATCGATTATAGCCCGGCGGCTCCTCCGTGGCAACTGCCGGATGCCGCACGCCGGTTTCTGGCATCGCCCAGCGTCCAACATCCTTTGAGCAATTTTTGGATGGCGAACGCTTCCGACGGTGTGAGATGATGTGGCCTCCCAAGGATGCCGTCGGTAATGACTGCATTTACCGGTCACAATTACAGCACCGCCAAACGCTGGGTGCGGTGCGCCACTGAGGCCGCGACGGTGGCTGGCCAAACGACGCAACGCGCAAAATGTGACACTCACAGTGGCGTGGAACAAAAACCACTCCACAAACCACAGCACTACTGGGCCACGAGCACCAACGCCGTGATGAGATTAGATGTGATGATAAATCTGTGGCCGAGGCAGCCAGGTTTACAGCTGCCTATAGCTCCCCACACAGCTCCCTCGTTCCCCACGATTAAATTGGATCTGCCGACACAGTCTTCCTTCGGCAAGGAGCGGGCTGCGTGCAGGTGACGGCGCTACCGATGGGCCGAACGCGAGAGACGAGACGAGACTGACATAGGCAGCTGTTCGGCAGCTCCCGCACAACATCGCCGGCTCCAAGATCTCTCCCGTGGCCCCCCGACAGACACCACCACCCCCCTCTCCTCGCCCTCCCCCCCGTGGGGAAACCTGAGATGCTTCTGACGCAGTTACAAACACCCGTCCCCTCTTAGCTGCGCACATACATGTGCTGCCCAAAATATCGTGCCACAGCGGCCTTGCGGCGGGCTCAGATATTTTGTTACGCCACTGCCGTCTGTTAATCAGGGGCGGATTGTATCCGCGCATCGCCGCTAATCACCGCCGCCTACAGATTCGCGATCGGCTGCTTTGATCCACGGCCCTCTGATCTCACCACTAACCGCTTTCAGCTGATGTATAAGGGTCTCAAAACCCACCCACTCCGCGCCTTGTCTATGCAGAGTATCTGCTTGGCTATTCATCACCCTAACCCTTCAAAGAACATTCTTCATCTCTAAATGATCTACCCCCAAAGGGCAGATCCATGGTTTGAGACCCCCCTCTCCTCAAATCTGACCACTCAGCCGCTCCTTAACATCTCACAACCGCCATGTTCCGTGCCCACTTCCCGAGACACGGCTAGAGAATGGCGGTTGACGTTGTTTCCTGGTGGCTATCCCCCAACAGTGGTGTTTACGACAGCATCGCTGGATGTGGTTAAACGTCATTCCCATGACAACGATTCGAAACATCCGATGTCCACACCCGCAGCTGTGTGTCAATATCACAGCATGGCTTCTGCCAGGAGCAGGGAGCAAGAAAACCGTGATCTTGAATTGTAGGCGGCGGTCGCCAAATGCGATACAATCCACATTTGTTTTTGGGGCGAGGCCACGTGGCGGTAGGTTTCATGCCATCGTTAACCCCTTCCAATGACACATGCGTTGGAAGTGAGCCACAATTTTGGCAGCTGGTTATGTCGCGATGGACATTTAGGCAGAGCGAAGTGAAGCAGCCTCACTCAATTTCCGAGCCCGTTACACGGATGGAGCTCGTTACTGGATGGGGTTCGTTACCGGATGGAGCTCGTTACCGGGTAGAGCTCGTTACCGGATGGAACTCGTTACCGGATAGAACTCGTTACCGGATGTATCTCGTTATCGGATCAGTGACATGTCATCGTTTGTCGATGACAAATTCACAGGGCCATCGCCCGAAACATCACCCATTTCATTTATCTCTCTCAGGCCGAAGTGGCACTGATGAACGTGTTTAGTATTCTTGTTATGTGTCCTTGTATGCATGTATATTGAACTTCTTTTGCACCGTACATAGCCAACCCTGCTAATCGGAGGTGCGATTATGTACCGTTGCCAATGCTGCATCATCTCCACTCATGACACGCAAAGTGCTTGCCACAAAGGAACCACAATATCTCGCTGATCTTGTCAAGGAGCATCAACTATCACGTGAACTCCGGTCATGCTCGCAGCGGGTTTTGGCTAGACATTGAACAAAGTAGGTTGCTGCATCACACACTTTCAGTTCTGCTTCTGCGGCCGTCTGGAACGCTCTTCCTTCCGATATTAGGAAGCCACTCAAGCAATGCACTTGTAAATCTCGACCGAAAACTTATTTAGATAGAACGGCTTTTTGTGTTGTTGTCCTTGGCTACGTTAAGTGCAAAATAGGTTCAACATACACACATACAGTAGTTTGTCAGATTTGATGATGAAAAAAAGGATAGGCTTTTCGACAAGTGTTGAGATGTTCAAACACCAAATAGACATCCATCAGGAGGCATCATCAAATATGCATTAACCACACACGCCTGTGGTAAAACATGCAAACAAGCATGCTTTGATAATGTACGCATTGTCCTGGAAACTGATCGGCCTACATCAGAGACAGCCTTCCTTTATGGCCTTGTCTCAACAGTGTTAGACCAAAGAACACCAAAAAGTGAACAGCACAAAGACAATACAAAAATAAAAAGCAATCGTTAAAAAAAGGGTCCCATAGATTTCTCAGATTAGTTTTTTTGGGTTGGATTACGACGGAGTTCATTCAGCTCCCCACAGAGCTGGAGCTTTATCGGCCGCAATTTGATGAACGGATTTGGCCACGTACAAATAATATCTGTGCGAGCGTGACAATCATGTCAGGTGGTGGAAGCTTAACCATCAGATTGTGACCGGTGGCACCAGACGGTGACCGGTGTCCCTCCAACCGGAGCGGGACTCCGCAGTCACGCCGTCGGCTTCGCGCCATCACAAGACGAGGGATGAACGTCTGGCAGAGCAGCGCGAGCCTCTGCGTGATTAAAGAACGGCCCACGGTGGCCAATATCGCGAATCTCCCAACGTCAGACCAGGACGACCCCCCGCACCTCTCGTCGCTCGCACCACGCGTGTATAATTTAAAACATAACGAAAATATTTGTTGCAGCTGGTGATTTCGTTTTTTTTTAAAGGTGACCTCTCAATTTCGATCAAACGATGGCGCAGTAATCCTGATGAGCCTCAGAGTCACAAAACTATTTTATCAGGACTTTTTTTTGTCTTCGTGGCAGAAGTGATTCAAGTGCCCAGACATCAACAAAAGGGGTAGCAGTACGCACAGCCTCACACAGATAGGTTTAATAATCTGTTTATAATCTGACATCTCATGGCCACCTCGCAGCCCAAGCCCGCAACACCTGGAAAGCATTGGTCGCTGTTCATCCAAGTATTAACCAGGCTCAAGCTTGCTTTAGCTCCCGAGATCTGGTGATATTTGGCGCATTCAGGGTAATTTGATCTCAGGCGAGCGTGAAGCTTGCTCTGCAGCCCGAACAGCTATATACACGCACGCACACATACGCAGGTGCACGAACACAGACACACGCACATGAGCATCCACAACAACAACCACCATTCGCTACTAAGTGGCAGTGATATAACCCTGGAGCTTGTGCCATCACTTTGTGCACTTTGAGGCCCCCCACTATGCCAACCTGCTGCATTTCAGCTGCCCGGCGCTCCGCTGAGCATCGCTCCTCTGCCTCAGTTGTTGGAGGGCGACTGCCTGGAACTGACTAGTAGCATCCTTCACGAGCCTCCTCCATAGAGGCCGATCTTGACACCGCTGGTACCAGTCTTCGGCAAGTCCACTCAGCTCCACATTCTCCTATACTGCATCAGTCCATCTCTTCTCCAGCCCGTGTGGCTTGGCATGTGGGCTACATGACCCAGCCTTGCCTGCCGGAGGAGCTCACTAATAGGAATGTGTCCAGATCTTTCAAGGATTTGTGAGCTCCTCACACAATCCAGCCTGGTTAAACCCAGCATGGATCGTAGGCAGCCAACACCACCTGTATGCACACAAACAGACAATGACCCCGTTTAGCATTTAACAGACCGTTGGATCAAGTGCTCTAAGCGAGCACCTATGAAGGCCGGCACGGCACACGAAGGGGTGGGTGGCCAGCACCACTTCTGGCGGCCTTTGTCTCCCTAGTAAAGATGCTTACACACTGCACCAGGTACTCATTTGAGGCTGAGTCGACCTAGGGGAGGCCCAGAAGCAGTTGAGATAATCGTCACTGGTGTTCGCCGTGAACGCACACACAAAGACATTCACGTATACACACACGTGCATGCAGACACATGAACACACGGATGCACGCCTACAAAAAACCGCATACACATACATGCACACAACATTCACTCACATACACGCAAGCGCTCATCAAGCCACACCAAACCACGCATCCCACCCATCGCAGCCTCTTGATCTGCACTCCAGCCCCCCATCGCGTGCGCTGCCCGTTAGCCTGGGTTCGGGCGAGCATCATCGCGGCGACGGTCACTCTCTCTCCGCTGCACAGTGGACTGCGGCGGAGCCCGCACGATCGGATGTTTGAAAGGAACGTGCAGCACAGCGCCATTATTCGTCATTCCCCTGCTGTGCGGGTCCCTAGGCGTCGGGACTAGCTGATGGGATGACATGAGGCGAGGCATCTTGTCTGCTTGGGGATATTGTTTACTTCACCGCACTGATTAGTGTGGGGTAGTAAACGTGGGGAGTGAAGTGGCTCGGGAACACAGATGTGCGGTACAACTACGGGCTGCCTGCCCTCTGCTGCCCACTGCATAGCCCCGCAGCCTATAACAACCTTTTCATGGATGTTGGTTGCTTGTTCGAGCGCTACTGCTTAGTTTCCGAGATGTGACGAGACCAGGTGAAATCGGGCGTTAACCGCTGCTCGAAGATCACGCTTTTATCCAACCCCGAGAACTATTCGGTGCGATTCATCGACCGATGCTGGTGAAATGCCTCCTTTTCTTCGTGGCTGACACGTCTCAGCAGGGAACAACGCGGCGCTCCGGCTCCATTTGTCCTCATTAGCGAACCGCCGGCACAGTGGACAGAGCGAGACCGCTCGTTCACTCGCTCACTCAGGAAACCCCAGGAACCCCGGCCCACGGGTCTGCGCTGGCAGTTATTTGGGTCCTCCCTACTGTCAGCGAGCGACACTTAGGTCCCGATTGATGGGCGCTCTATCTGCACAGGTATCCCTCGATTTACAAACGTTCTTCGGATTACGAAATTTTGCGTGAACAACAATTGACAAATTATGGTCACTTTTCGATGAACGGAATCGAATTTGAGCCAAGAAATGTCACTACGGCACACTTCGTGAGATCACCAAACAAGAAGCACCCGGAAGCCTGCATCATCCATCCACAATAGCGTCACACTGTCCCTACAGTACAACAGTAACGTCTCCACATCACCTTTCCACTCATTCCAGCATGCAGATTTGGTGAGTTCCCTGATGAGGTTAATTATTTTTCTTTAAAATGTATTATTATTATTGAATTGTTTAAAAATGTATGTTCTTTATTATTTTTGTATTGTAAAAAGTTATATCGGTGTATATTTTTAGATTAGGAATGGAGTTGAAATCACTGTCTGAAACACATCCTGAATTTTTTAATTAAATGAAAGGGAAAAGTCAATTCGATTTACGAAATACGCGTGTTTTTTTGAAGAGCGCATCCCCTTTCGTAAATCGAGGGATACCTGCCGTGCATGGTGAGCCCATCTTTGGCCTCAGTGATGCGTGGCTCCAATTGAACTGGCCTCAACCTTGGGGCAGTTCAAAGTGTGAGGAGATGAGAAGGAGGGGGGGATGGGGAGGAGGGTCCCTGCTGATGACCAATGCTCACCGCTGCACCAATCGCTCACGAACAATGTCCAAGCACCGCTGCTCGGGTGATTTAATGATCACGATGGTTGTTGGGTCGCATATTCCGCTAGCTTATGTAAAACATAACAGGCTAAATAAAATAATAATTTAATTCACCATTGCTAAAAGCAAAAGGAAGATTGCAATGTTTTGGCCGACAGGCCTTCTTCAGGAAAATGCCCCATCAACCCAAATAAAGATTTATATTCACCTGGTGACCCGGTTATATTATTCCAGCACTTTGTTTTATAATCGTTGCATGTTACTGGTTTTGAGACATGGACAGGTGGAGATGGCGTGATGCAATCAGCTAATGGGCAGGAGCTCTCTCAATTGTTGTTGCATCACGAGGTTGGGAGAGATGGTGACAGGGCTTGAGGAGGCCTGATGTCAGTAGTCGATAATGATGATTTATCTGGGAAAGCCCTGGAACAGTCTAAAAACATTTTCATCAGGATCCTGCATTTGAAATATTTGGCCATATACTTGATTAATGAATGGTTAAAAGGAAATCAGAAAAAGTTCCAAGAGATCTGGGGTAACACTCCAAGTTCCCCACAGCCATCATGGGAGCCCGGGGAAGCCTCGCAAATCTCTGCGTGATCCACATCTATTATCAGGAGATGACAGGCCAAGCGGTGGTGGTGGCGCGTTTAATATGTCAGCTATCTAACCATAGTAATGTTTACTACGCGCCATCTGCTCAATTGTGAACGTTAAAAATCCCGTGATGTCATTCGCAAAAGTAGGCCAATGTGTGCCAGCGTCACTGTTCAAATTTCCCGCAAATCACTCATTTCAAACCATTCGCCCACACTGTGAACATTTGGCAGGACCCTTGCAAGAAATAGTGATGATACTCGGTGAGGCTAACCTGGGCAAAGCAAGCCCAATGATAATGATGTCACTCCGCCCGCCAGGGTGGGAGAATCCGAGTTGAATTCAAGAGACAATGGCTGGGGAGGGGGGGGTCCTGGAGGGGCAGCCGCTGCCCTCCGTCGCCACTTCCGTGCGTCTTTATCGAATTCGCGTTGGAAGTGGGCGTGCGCCCGTGCTGCTACAGGGATCGTTTTGATTGTTTTGTTGAAATTGTTGCCGGGATTTGCGTCCACGCACAATGCACGCAGGGGGAGCTGTGGCGGCACAGACGACGTGAACAAAACGTGGAAGCTCCCGATATTCTATGACTACTGATGCTATTTTTATTTTACCAGGTAAGGCCCACTGAGCAATGAAGCTCTTTTACAGAAGCGACCTGGCCACAAATGATAGCTCAGCGAATTGGCTTACCGTGTGGAAATTTACAGCAGCCATATACTCTCTAAACGCGTGATTCTATTCACCACTGAAGTAAGCCGTGGCAAGAGGCGAGAGCTCATGAAGGCCAACAGGCTCTTTTGCAAGAGCTAAATTATCTGGCAATGCTGCTGCTGCGTTGGCAGTGGTGTACAAGTGTACACAATGGTAAAAAAAAAAACTCTACACATTCGCCAATAACACTTCGTGGCCTGAGCAGGAAAAAAAAATAGGTAACGTTTTGGGTATTAGCTATTCTGCATAGCTCATGGATATATACCAGAGAGACAGAGCGGACGACAAGGGTTGGAGACTGCACTAAACACAAATGTGTTGAATATTTTTTGGGTTACAGAGAGTACACAAGCGGCATTTTACGCATCCGCAGCGTCAGTCAAATGTTGCAAATTTGGCGGAATCGGCTGACTGCTTCAGGTTGAGGAGGTTACAAACTCGACACTGGGTTTTCCAGTCTCAGGTGGCAAATGCAGCCGAAAAATGTATAGAAATGGGACATAAGGAAATAAGTTTCTTGAACTGAATCGTGATGTCAAATTCCAGACAATTAGTCTAAATACTGGGTGGTAGTAGGGTCGGTTAGGTCAGTGGATTAGGCTGAATGAACCCACCAACCTAACCCCTAGACCTGACCCCTTGACTTGACCCACTGACCAGTGGAGTAAAGTGGTTGACATGGGCCCTCGTGCATGTAATTAAATCGCCCCCTACCCCCAATCCAATTTCCCGGATCCCCTCCTCTTTGCAGCTTGGCACCTTGGCCACTCCAGTCCATGGGCTGTTGACACGGAGTGCCGACCTGATCCCACGACTCGACCCCGCGATCCGACCCCGCGATCCGACCCCACAATCTGTCCCCCCCCCCACCGCGTGTGGTGCTGGCCTCACCATGCCCTCATCCACGAACTCCACCACCTCCACGGTTTCCACCACATCAACCTCTCCACCGCCCTTCCAGTTGGGGTTGGGCGCCGTCCTGGCGTTGCTCTGCTGCTGCATGGGGCCTGGGTTGGAGCCCTTGTCAGAGCCGGGGTTGCCCCCCACGGGCGCCACCTTGCCATCGTGGTGGCCGTTGTCGCCAACCTGGTTCTGCCGCCGGATGTCTGTCTGCGCGGTGGGCGAGTGGCAGATGGCATAGCCGTGGTAGCCCGAGACCACCTCCTCCTTCTGGCGCCGCTCCGAGGCTCGGTGCTGCAGGCCGTCCCTCCGACGGAGGGGCTTCATCTCGATCTGGTAGCGCGTCCGTGGCTCCCGACGGCTGCCACCACCGCCGCCGCCTTCACTCTGGCCTGCTAAGCCTCCGGGGGCACAGATGCACGCACGCACGCACGCAGTTGTCCGACGATGCCCGGCATCGTGCCACTCACCTCCACGCGGAGCCGCGTCCCTGCACAGCACTTCCCTCACAAAGTAAAACCACTGCTTAGGTAATCAAAGTTGTGCCGTATGCGTGTGTTCATCGAAGGTGAATTTCTCACCGCTGTACTTTGCTTCCGGTATCTGATGCACCCTGGGTGATGTGATTTGAGTTTTTAAAGGAACACGCATTAACTCATTATTCCCTTATTCCAGGGCTTAATTTCAGCCAGGCCTGTATATTATTAATAATACATGGCTGTGGCTGCTACGAGTCAAATGCCGCCTACTCTAGTCTACCAACAATCCAGAAAATATTCCATGAGATTTAAAGACCTCTCCAATTCCATCACAACACCTCATTTTCCTCCATCTCTTCCTGTGGTACAACCGAGCCGTGCCGGGGCCGTGCCTAGCCAAGCCCTGCACCGTAGAAGCTGAACCACGCAACTGACATCACACGCAATGAACAATGATCCCCAACCCTGGCCCTGCTTGGGACCGAGCCAGGCATCCATCTCGCACGGCCAGCATGTCATGGTTTAGTTCCCGCTTGGCTCGACAAGCAGCCACCCATAACAGCGAGGGAATCTCGCTGGCTCGCCTCGGACGTGCTTGTGGGAAAGGGGTTCTCGCGTTCGCCGGCACCTCAACCTGCCCTGGTGGCGCGCGCGCGGCATTCTACGCCGGATCCGGCCGCGCCCTACCTTTCGCCGGCGCGACGTCAGTCGTCCTCCCGCGCGCTCCCTGCTTCCCGTTTGGCACACCGGGCCCGTCGGCGTTCACCGCCCTCCTCGCACCAAACCGCTCCGGCTCGGGCTTGAGCACGCCACGGCCGGCGCCCCTGGCGGCTGCCGTGATGGCGGGCGGGTTGGCATGCGCAGAGCGCGAGCGCGGGCTCGGGGGCGGCGTGGGGCCGAGGCTGCCCGCGGGGCTCTGATTGGGAGGCGGTGTTGTGCCCTTGCGGTAGAGCTCGGTGCTGGCGGGCCTCTCCACCGGAGCGTCGTCGTCTTCCAGCTCGTACTCGTCCTCGTCCTCGTCCTCGTCCCCCTTGCGCCCTGTGGGAGCAAGCGGGCGCCGGCGGTGAGGGACGAGGCTTACCATGCGCCGTTGTGACGGGTTACGGGTAATTAAGTAACGTGCAAGGGCGGCGTCTGTGTCACCAGATTAAACATAAAACAACACACAGTCTGTTCTTCTATAACGGCGCGTGCTGTTTTCATAGCGCCAATTGGATATAACGCGATTAAGTGAACATAATTACGTCGCTCAAGTAGGAATAAGCTGCCTCGGCGTAGCATCACACAAAGCGGGATGCTGCTGAATGCTTCTAGGTGCTACCCCACGCACAGTCTTTGTTCGGCCTGCGTACGCGTCTCACGTGTTAACGCAATTTTTCCAGAACGCAACAACTACCACGTTGTAGGAAAACAGAATATATTAACCATTCGACCTCTGGCCTTATTAACCAATGTTTCCCCAGCAGCTTTATTTTAAGCTGCCAAACTCTGGACTGGTTTCAACTTCTCTGGGCGTCATCAGCAGGGCGCAGCCTGCGAAGCGAATGCTGTCGTGTTGCCTGGTGTTGTAGGCGAGGGCCGTTCATGAACACCACGACTTCCCCATAATTATTAAACGTCCCGGGAATTTAAGGGTGGTAGTCCTGCTGAATGTGTGCAAAACTTGAGGAAATAAACACAATAACGCCACCATAATGGGAGAGATACACGAGAGCCGACGTTTCGGGCAATGGCCCTTTGTCACGGAAGATGTTCTCCCTCTTTGCTACGAGGAAGTGCCATTACCCCAAAACGTCACCTGTTATATTTCTTCTTTTTCCTGTTAGAGCCCATGGCACTGCTATTGAGGAATGTTTTCGATATTTGTGCACCACAGCCAACGCAGCAATGCAATTGCATTCGTTTACACAAATGCAGTGAATGAGGGGAATTGTATTGGCGTAAGTGCCAACCCTTCCCAATGTACGTGGTAGGCTGCCAATTGGTGAAATGCTTTTACCGCATCCCGACTTCGAAGTTAATAAAAAACGCTTCTTGAGAATTGTTTAATAAAAAATGTTGGCGACTTTTTTTTTGCATTGAAAATCGAAATGCCGGCAAATGTAAAAAAAAACTCCAGGAATCTTTGTAAATCGGTCAATGCTGGCGCGGTCACGACTACGACACACCGGAGCTGTATAAAAAAAAAAACTAACTCGCCAGTGAAAATCACGGTAAGAGGATCACGAGGAAGATTATCGCATCGGCTTGAGCCGAGATAGGGGGGTTGATTTTTATGAATAAGCTCTGTGCAGAGCAGCACATTACCCCGACGGCACCCGCGTTAAAGAACAAGCAGCAACAGCTGTTCGACAGGCACACACACACACCCACACACACGCGCACACACGCACAAAGACAAATAATCCCCGTAAAGATGAACAAACTGTTTGGGCAAGTGCTGTTAATGAGTACCTATGAAGGCCAGCATGGCACACGAGGGGGTGGAGGGCCAGCACCACACCCGGCCGCCTCTGTCTCCCTGGTGGTGATGTTTACTACACACCACACCAGGTACTCATTTGTCAACCAAGAGGAGGCCCAAGATAATCGTCACTGGTGTTGGCTGTGAGCAGGAATCGAACTCGGGCACTAGGTTCATAGCGCAGCATGCTAACTGCTGCACTACTGTTCCCCATACAAAGACAAATACCTCCCATATACCCTTAACAGACTGGAAGAGCAAGTCCCGTTAGCAAGCACCAAACCCCTTCGTGTGCCATGCTGGCCTTCATAGGAGCTCGCTCCACTCACGCACGCACGCACGAGGCCACGTCCATTCGCCAGAAAGGCAGATTACGCGCAGCGAGACGTGCTAGGCGCACACATTTGTTGTGAAACGACCTGAATGAGATGTCTGCTACTGCTCTCTTTGCTGAACAACCGACCCTGCCTCCCAACAACCCCCTCCATCACCCCCCGAATCCCCAGCCACCCTTACCAGCACCCCTCTCTCCTTGCCTCTCAGCAGATTCTGCCTCACGTTCTCCCCATTACACAAATTCCAAGCCGGCTATAATTAGTCGCTCCCAGCTTGATATGGGCTTGGGCCAGGGACACGGTGCGCTGGCGAGGCGTAGGGTTGTGGGGGGCCGCAGGGCGGCGGGGAGGAGGAGGGCGAGCCTCGCCGTTCGGCCTAGGGGAATCTGCGCTGCTTCAGCCACAGGCGAGCGCCGGCCAAGGTCCAGCGTCGCGAAGGCCACGCGAATCCCCCAAACGCGCCCCCCCCCCCCCCCTCACCGGAGGGAAGTCGCCGTGCGACCGTTAGGCACAGCCTGTCCCGAGCATTGGCCCTGCCTTGATCCGACCGCCAAGCCCCCAGGCTGCCCGCGCAACCGGCGTGATGATCACGGGGCCGCCGTTTTATGTTGCCGGAGAATCGCGCACGTGCACTATTCATAAAGAGGGAAGGGACCCGGTTTGCATTTTTATTGAGCAACCTGGCGTTCCTGTCCGTCAGCGGCTCTCTTCTCCCTCTCTCTCACACAGACGGCCGCCACCATCCAGCTGCTCCGTTGCCCCCCCGCGGCGCCAGCCGATTGCTTTCGGGCAAGTGCCTCGGCAACGACTCGCGCAGGCTGGCGCTGCGATCTGTGGTGGCCGCACGCCGCCGAGTATTGTTTGAAAACTCAAAGCCATGTTCAGGAATGTTCTTGAATGAACCGCGCAGTCAATGACGCTGCTGCAGTGGCGCAACAGTCGGCACACTCGATTCCATCTCCCAACGCGTTCAATTGGAACGATTGTGCAAGTTTCTTAAATTCCCCCCCCCCCCCCGCCGCCACTCTCCACCCCCTTCTATGGGGTGCCCTGGCTGTTGATGAGACACAGTGTGTCGAGGCCGGTCCAGCGTCTACTTCTCTTGAACCAATGCGGCTGAAATGATGTACTCCCAGAAGGCCGTGTGGTTGATGGCAAGTATAAAAAAATGCTTTTTTACGTATATACATTTTTACGAATATAACAGGTCCCTGCAGGGTGGGCTGGTAGGACAAGTCTCTGCGCTGTCTATTGCTGATTTTACACCCAACAGCACGAGATTTCACTTCGTTAAAGTATTGAAAGCGGACGGACGGACACATTAATCTATTGCAGGCTGGTATACTCAGGGAAGGAAATTGTCTGCTTATTGATTTCCCTCCAGTGGGAGCTCATCCACCAGCAGTGGCATAAGCGAAGAAATTCAGCCCCGCACATTTACCCTTCAGCACATCCGACGACACTCGACACCGGCCAATCTTATTTTTCATTTCGGTATTATTTTTCCTTCACCAAAACTCTCGTGAACTTAATAATAACGAATAAGCCGACTAAATTAAAACATTCCTTGCCCGTGGCACCACAAAAAAACCCGTGTCCGTCGTTTTGGCTCCACAGCTAACGAGCCACACCCGGCTTCAAGCGTCATAGCCGGACTATATTTAAATCCACGCAGTCAGCTGCACTCTAATTGCGCCGCGCACCTGGCCACCGCGACCAGAGGCCGTGAGCGTTAAAAGCCACCGCAATTGGTGGGAACGCGCTTGACTTGAGCGGCACTCGCAGTCCAATCTGCCGACCTCCCCGTGAAGGTCACCCCGATCCCGAACGCTCTCGCCGAGCGAGGCACGCTGGCCACGGCGCGGGTGACACCGCCGGTTGCCTTCATCTCCGGTAAAACTGCCCCAGCGACCGGGGGATGAGAAGGAAGTGAGAGAGAGGAGAGAGGCAGTTCCACGCCGAGCTGCGAATGACCGAGGCTCGGGAACGCACGGCGGGGCACGGGCGGCGCGGGCGCCAGCTGGCGGGTGACCAAGCTGGACGCCGACCACAGTATTTCCGATATTACTCCATGATGTTGAGCGGATTCAGCTCTGAATGCGAGAGGCAAAGAAAGATCCACACTGAAGAGGAAATTGGCCAAGGGAACAAAATAATCTTTCAGGAGGAGGGAATTCTTTGTGCCGGCGGGGCACTTACGCTTACGAGTCGGACGAGCGGGCACGCGAGCGAGCGACTGAATGAATCGATGAATGGTTTCATTAATTAATGGCTTCGTGAATGAGTGGAGAAGGAATTAACGTGCGAAAGACTCCCATCTAGTCTTGTTTCCACTGGTGAGCACCCCTGTTGTGCCCATGCCTCTCAAAATCCTTTGAACCTTGGAGCAGTGACTCAAACGCAGTAATGGTATGCGACTCCTCAGAGTGCTCAGAGAGCTATTGATTTTATAATGCACAAAAAGCCTCTCAATCTCAGACGCAGTTATAACTTAAAGGCCGCATGGCTCCAGCTCATGCAACACTCCGCAATTCTTTTAAGTCAGAACCAGAATCAGAATCTCCATTTAGATTGGAGGAATCCGATGAGTCATGAAGCTCTTTTTCACAGATGTCCATATTCCGAGAGATCGTGTGGCAGAGGAGTGAGACGATGCAGACATTGGCAGCCACGTCTGATGTGGGTGGCTAGGCAAACATACCAACGAACGAACAACCGGATGGGCTAGGGTGGCCAACCTTTAAATTCAACAAAAAAACTGACACGAATCACGCACTGAGTGTGCAATGACGTTTGGTGGTGACGATGGTGGTGGTGGTGCCGGAGGTGACGATGATGACGGTGACGGCGACAGCGGCATTGATGAAAGCAGTGGCAGTGGTAGTCATGGCAGTGATAGTCATGGCAGTGGCAGCGATGACGATAATTGCAATGATCGCGATGGCAGTGGCAGCTGGCAGCGATGGAGAACTGGCGATAGCGATGGTGGCAGCTAGAGCGGTCGGCGATGATGTCCAAGGCGGCAGAGGTGGATGCGGTGGCGGTCGGCACGTACCCTGGCACAGGAAGCCCGGAGATAGCTCGGCGGCGAGCTCCAGGGCGATGCTGGAGGCCTCATGGGCTGTCTGCGATGCCATGTCCGCGGCCTCCGCCTTCACACGCGCGTGCGCGGCCCTGACGGTGGTGGGGGGTGGGGGGTGGGGGCGAGCGTCACGGGGAGCAGGGGGCGAGAGAAGACGTTCAGCATCTCATTGGATTTTTTTGGGACCAGGGACAAGCGACATCAAAACCAAGAGTGAGCGACAGGGGTCTGAGGGGCTCGTGAGAGATGCTGAGCCAGCACCGCTGACACCTGGGTGGCAAGTCAGGTGTTGAGATGTTCAAATACCAAACAGATATCCATCACAAGGAATCAAGTCTGCATTAACCACACATTCTTGTGATCAAACATGCAAACAAACATGTTTTGATAATATATGCAGGGTCCTGAAACTGATTGGCCTACACCAAAAGGTAAACAGTGCAAAGACAATGCAACTATAAAAAGCATTAATAGCTCTGGTCGAGCAGTTGTCTCGATGGGTATCAAGATGATGAACAAATTAATCGGCTTTAACCTCTCTGGCTATGCCAGAAATGGTTCCAGCTTCCCACACCTTTCCTGAGAAGGTTTCAGCAAACTATTTCTTTAGAACTGATTTTTGTGTTTAGTTTGTTCTCCTTACCCTGCACCTCCGATTCGCACGGTTGGTTACGTACAGTGCGAAAGAAGTTCAACATTCATACATACAAACATCATTAAACGGGGTTCTCAATTCATTCACGGTAAGTTTTTGGCTCAGATCACAGAAGTGTAAAGCCAAGCGGTGTCATACACCCTCGTCCACCCGACACAGCCAAACAAAACCAGTTGTCACGTGGACAGGACACGCTAATTGATAGTCTTCGGCAAAGCAGTTTGTGTGAAAGGAGACTCATGGAAAATGGCGACGATTAGATATGATGCGTTGCTGGAAGTTACACCCAGAATCGTTGGACGACAAAGGAGCAAGCGCTACTTGGCAAGTGATGGCATCTCCTTATCCGGACCTTAAATAGGCGTGAAAACGTCATTGGCCCGGCCAATGAGGTGAGACTGACGTTAATGTTAATGCGATAATATTACATTGTAATTAACAATTTTTATCATGGTTATTTAGCATGTTGTTAACAACCGTAATGTTACTCTGTTGCTCCGAGTTGGGTCGATGGTCCGAGCCCAGTCACCAATGAGCGCACAAAACAGAACTCGTATGAACTTGGTTGTTGTTGCTGCATGCAGCCTGAACTCCAGAGCTGAAAACAAATTCTGGTCTGAGCGCCATGCGGGAAACACTGTTTTGCAGAGTATAGTAAAGGTTCTTTTTGACTAGTTCCGTGATTTGATCTTGCGCACAAGGCAGTGCCCCACAAGCTACGAAGAGTTTTGCCTCTCGTGATACCCCGTGGGGGGTTGTTTGACTATAGTTCTCCACAACTGGTCAGTTCGAATAAGTGAAGGGGAGGCCCAGGGCTGGTTCAGGTAACACTCGTCGCTCATGTTAGCCATGGCCACTAATAAAACTCAGGTCATGAGATTCATAGCGTAGCATGCCAACCACTGTGCCACCCATCCTGCTCGATTATAAAACAAGTTTCAAGTGTATTGCGTTCAACTAGGTGGTGAGAACTCTAAAAACCAGGATCGAAGAGTTTCATTTGCAAGATGGTTCTGGGTCAACAAATTTACAAAAGTAAAAATATATAAAACTAAGTAAAGTTATCAACTAAATAGAAATCAGAGCACTGTCGGGTGGCAAAATAAAAAATCGAACAAAACAATAGAAGACAAATCGACAACAAAACCTGGGTCATTCTGGATCAGCTTTGAGACTTGAAGATAAAATTGAATAGGTCACAGGGTAACAGCAGCGTGGGTTCACCACACAGCCTGCCTTGCACGTACAGCGGCAAGACGAGATGAGAGACGACTCGTCAAGGGAACAGCTCGGGGTGAGAGAACCATCCATTCCTGGCACTCGCCACCATCAGCATAATTAAGTCACCACGGCAATCCGCGCGTGATGGAGTGAGGGAGCGAGCGAGCGAGCGGGGGAGTGAGCGGAGGTATTCTAGATTTAAAGCTTTCGTGACTGCTAGGATCCATACTCTTTGGTTCTATTGGGTAAAGTCACGTAGGTGAAAATAAAATAACAAAAAATCACGACGTTGATCGCCGCGATCACAAGCTTAAAGGTCGTGATCTAAGCGTGGCTTTTCTCACTCCAGCGCTGTCCTCCAGACAGTCTCGTCCCTTCACCTGATGAAGGCCGCTTGTGTCGTGGCCGAAACGTCGTGATTTTTTGTTATTTTATTTTCACCTACGTGACTTTACCCAATAGAACCAAAGAGAGCGGAGGTATTGTTGAGTGGGGAAGAGGGTTCAAATTTGGTCACAGCACTTAACGATGGGCGCCCGCGTCAAAAGCGCATAATATTTGCGGAAAGTGGGGCGTTAACTGCGATCGTGCGAGCGACGTGGCGGGGGTTTCTCTGAATTTTGCTCGACGATGGCTCAAAGGAGCCGTTTTCCGCTCAATCGTTTCCTGAAGATCCGGTTTGGCGGCAGAGCGAGTGGCTCGCAATTACCGGAAGGTTGCGAGTTCTAATTCTAGCTGGGGGTGTTGACTTAGCCTATCTTACCTCTGGGGTGCGATAAAATGTACACCACGTTGTGTGGCAGTCAACAGCGGTTGTCCCATGGTAGAGCCGCCCCTGCTATTGGAATGTTGAATTTCCAGGACTGGGCTGTAAACAGGAGATGAGCACAAATATCTCGATGCTCATTTAAGTGGGACATCCTTGTGACTTTTCACATTCCCAAAAACATGTCTAAATATAATTCCGGATTTCCCGCAGCTTTGATCAAAACTTCACATCACACTTTGACATGTTGGCATTCCTCCATACAACATCTCGTCAATGAAGGCCATGGCTCCGTCACCTGCCACCCGTTCAGGGCTCACGGAGACCGCGTGCTCCATTGTGACAGCGAGGCAGAGCGACCAGCGGACTCCGTGTGAGCAGAATGTTCATAGAGACTGCCACGCCCACCGTGGCAAGGGTCACATTTGGAACCAGTGGTGTGCAGAAGGCCACTCTGCAGATGGTGGGAATGCAAGCACTAATTAATAGATTATTGGGTTTAATAGCGTCTTTTTGGGGGTTAGAATGCATAAATATAAATGTGCAATTAAACCCGACACCACCGGACAGCCAATTAGTAATGACACGTTAATATTTAAGTGATCTAACCCAAAATAAAAGCTCTCATGGATACTGGTCGCAAAATTCTACTTGTTAAATTATTGAGTTTACCTACAGATTTTGCTACAACTGCTATTATTGCTGTTACTGCTGCTACCATTCATATGTTTTTTGTTAATGTTGTCGCTATTGAGGCAAGTGCTGCTGCTACTGCTGCTGCATTTAGGGTCAACTAACAATCCGAGGTCACCATAAGCCCACAGAGCCAGGATCGGGCGGTGAACTCAGGGAACTTCGCTGGTCCGTCGGCTTGGTTCCAGCAAGCCTCATTACGTTGGTCGATGGTTGCACGTTCTGCTGTCGCAAGGCGAGCCAAATACCTGATCATATACGAGGATTATGCCCGAGTATTTTTCACAGTTCTGAGTGTCTCATGGCCGTGTAAATAGTTCACTATAAAATAGTTCACTATAAAATAGTTCACTATAAAATAGTTCACTCAACCCTATTGACTGCAGCGTCTCCCTGGCAGCTACTGCCGATCATTCGGGTTTCATGTAAGGGTCGGATACAAAATGTTTAGTATTCACCGACAGCCTTTCTATGAGAAAAGAGGAGGAAACTAATCACAACTATCCCGGGTTAGTATTATTATTTCATTTACTATGGGGGGGGGGGGGGTTATGGGGGTGTTAAAACTCATTGAGTGACCCATCTCTTTTCTCTCCCATGACTGCCACGAGACAGCCCCTGTATCCCGCTGTGAACCACACATGTGCTTCAATGACATTCGTGAACCAAGGAGCCGAGAAAGTAGGTTGTGCATGAGGGACTGGAGCTTAAAGATGTCATCCAACCCGTTGGAACGGATCGACATCCAGATTATCCAGGTTCAGGATGCAGAAGTGAGCATTCGATGGCCGGACCTCGGCTTTTGATGGAGCCGATGCAGCCGTCCAGTGGGGGAAACGAAGCCTCCAAGAGCCGAATCACGTTCAGAGGGTTGATCACCATGGTAAACGGCACCACTTGGACAACAGCAACAATAATGACAGCAACGCGTGGATGCGAAGGGTCGAGGGGTAATTCCCCGATTGCTGCTCCTAGAACATTGCTCCCTGGACAGAAGCTCCCTTCACTCTGCTGTCCGGATAGGGAACTGCCTCCACGAGCACATTGTCAGCAAAATCACCGATTCTGGTCTTCAGGCCTACAAATGCAGAGCACACACACGGGGCATCTCCTAACTTCACCGCACGCCTTCGTAGGGACTGAGCCTTTGAGCTGCAGTGAACCAATGATTATGCCGATTAGATGTACTAATGTTTGCTATGGCTGTTGTTCACAATTGCACCCAAATGTTTTTTAAATAAATAAAAAGAACAGGCAACGTGCGCTACGAGGGATCTCGCCAATCTCGTCCTATCGCTGGGTAGCTTCGAAGGGACAACGTTTGGTTGCAATTGGAGGGGCGCACTCCGCGAACATTCCTTGTCAATTTGACGACGTCGTGGCATCAAAGCTGGTGAAGAGATCTGCTCTCCGAGCCCTTTGTAGACGGGATATTAAAGTGGGTGGCAGTGTCAGCATTGATCTGACAGGCCATTCGTGTCATTTACACAGCAGCAATGCTGACCGGCTGAGGGATTTGTGTTCAATGTTTCCTTATACGTGACATGTAAATTGGTCAATGTTTTAATTTGGTTAGTGAAAGAACATTTCTATTTATTTATTCCTCCCCCTCCACACCCCCACTCCACAGACTCAAGGTTTTCCCAAGCTTTTCTTGTGGGGGTCTCACGGATGTGAACCTTTGGGGTGGACACGTATGCCCAACTTATACGTGGAAAAACATCACACTCCCACGTGTGCAACTGTGGCTACGGACA